AAGTGATCCATAAAAGCAATAGAGGAATCCTCCCTTCTAATGATGGTCACACCCTTATCCATAAAGTGACAATCATAGTCCATCTCACATAATTGTGATACGGACAATAAATTGTAACTTAACGAATCAATATGTAAAACATTTGACATTGAATGATCTTGAGTTATAGAGATTTTACCGACACCAAGCACTTCTCCTTTTGAATTATCCCCAAATACTATATTTTCACTTGGACCTTCCATTTGGGCATAAGATGAGAACATACTCTTCTCTCCAGTCATATGATTTGTACATCCACTATCAAGCACCCAACTTGATCCATCGGAGGAGTATGCTTGCAAAACAAGTTTAGTTCCTTCTTTTAGGTCCCCAATTAGCATTCGGGCCTTGAGTGTTAGCCACTAGAATCTTAGGAACCCATAGAGATCTTTTCACATATATGTTGGGCTCATTTCCAACATAAGTGGCAACAACTTTACCAAGGTTATTGCGTTTCAATACATAGCTAGAGGACATGCCCTCATGGGGTGCATGGGTCTTGGGCTTGTAAGCATACTTGTTCTCTTTCGTATGATTGGGTTCTCCTTGACCTGCAGACGAGTGTTAGATGCTTTAGGAGCTTGTTGTCTTGGTCGAGGTGGTGCCATGGTTCTGTTGGTGCCACTGTTCTACCAGACCCCGAAACCTCCAAGTTTTGGCGCGGAGCCTATAGCATGCGGAACCTCCATGCTTCTGCGTGGAGCCTCCATGTTCTGCATAGGCTGCACCTCACCAATGGTCTCCTTCTTCTTGAACTTGATGCCAGACACTCTATTCACCATCTTCCTTTCACCAGTCTTGCCACCCTTCTTGTGGCTGAGACCATCTTTGATAAAAGGATGTCTTACTTGAATGAACTTGGGCTTCTTGCTTGCATCATCCATGCACCAGTAGCTATGATATTGTTGAGTCTTGCAATTTCATTCTTCATAGCTTCCATATTAGCAATGTTAGTAGCACAAGCTTCTAACTCAGCATTGTAGCATCTATCACAACCCTTGCTAGTAGATGCATTAGTGATCTCACTTGCCTTCGTAGGATCTGAGGTTTTATCCCAAAGGATGCTAAATTGCTCTTCAAGCTCCTCATTTCTTGTCTTGAGGGCATTGTTCTTTTCTTAAAGAGTATTTAGATCATCCTTTAGGGTAGATATGACACTTTCCACTTGGTCAACTTCCAAACATAAAGTTTCAACCTCACTTCTTTCCAATGCAAGAGCTTTCTTGCAAGTAACATAGAGTTTCTCTTATTTGGCAAGAGTAGCTTGAGTTCTCTCTAATTCATCTACCACCTTGGCTATGAAGTTCTTAGATTTTTTATCCATTTTACTTGCCAAGTTGTTTACTTCATCATCACTAGATTCATCACTAGAGTCTATGTTAGATTCATCACTAGGTGGAGGAGTGGGTTTAGGCTTGGATTTAGGTTTTACCTTTTCTCCTTTGCCCATGAGACAAAAGAGTGTAGACCTCTCCTCATCATCGATCAAGTTGGTGAAGAGCTTTGGTGAAGAAGAATGCTTCTTGATAACAATTGTTGCAACTTTCTTTGTTTCTTCTTTACTTGAGCTATCATCATTTGAATCCCATTCATGACCAATATGAGCTTGACCCGAATAGTTCTTCTTGTGTTGGGTCTTGTCATCTTTCTTGTAGTGCTTCCTCTTCTTGTCTTTCTTATCCTCTTTGTTCTCATAAGGACAATCGGCAATGAAATGCTCCATACTTCCACAATTATAGCATTTCCTCTTTTGTTTGTTGGGAAATCTCCTCTTCACAAACTTGTACCCTTCTCTTTTCAATCCCTTCTTGTACTTCCTCATGAACAAAGCAACATCACCAATCTTACCTGAAGACACTTCATCATCTTCATCATCACTTGAGTCACTTGATGAATCAACCGTCTCAACCTTGCTTGATCTTGATCTTGGTGGCTTGCTTGTGGTGGAGGTCTTGTTTGATTTGTTTGCCTTGAGAGCTACCTCCTTGACCTTCAAGTTCTCCATCTTTGCTTCTAACTCTCCAAACTTGTTCCTTTGTTGTATCTCCATCTCCATGAGCTTATGAATGAGTATTCTTCCAAGGACATCACTACGGGTGAACTCTTCAAACATCTTCTTCTCTCTAATCAATGTCACAAGAGTTGGGTTTCTTAGTGCAAATGATTCTAACATCACCTTTACAACATGATGATCATCCAAGTCATCCCCACCCAAGCCTCTAATCTTAGCAACTATCACCATCAATCTATCAAACATCTCTTGAGGGCATTCTCCATCTTTGATGATAAACCTATTGAGTTGAGCCATCAATAGATCAATCTTGGACTTCTTTACCTTACTAACTCCATCATGTTCAAGGTGAAGAGTGTCCCAAATCTCCTTAGCAATCTCCAAACCAATCACTTTGTTGTACTCTTCCGGGCTTAATGCACTTAGAAGAGCACTAGTAGCTTGAGCATTGCAATATATCATGCGAATCTCTCTTGGTGTGGGATTTTTGGGTTCAATGGGATCTTCAAAACCTACACACACAATATTCCACATCTCCGGATGGAGTCCAATAAGATAAGCCTTCATCATATGCTTCCACTTGGCAAAGTTAGTCCCATCAAATTGGGGTAACTTGCCCATTGGTATGTTGATGTGAGTGTTAGTAGGCAAATTTATGGAATCATAATTAAAGGATACACTCGAATATGATATCTTGGTGTTGGACTTGAGTGTCCTATTTGGTAGCCTTTGAGCATAGTACTCATCATCATCATCTCCATTCTTTGACTCGTTGCTTGGTTGTGGGCTTGATTGCACCTTTCTTCTTGCTTTGTGTTTCTTCTTCTCCTTGTTCTTGTTCTTGTCCCTTTGCTTGTCTCCCTTGGAGGATCCCTTAGCACCAAGCATGAGCTTTGGAAGTCACTCAAGCGCTGCTATGGGATCATCCTCAGGAGCTTCAGTTTCCATCTTTCTCTGGTTCCCTTTCTCTAGGACTTATCATTTCTTCACACAGTTAAGTGCTATCATGAAGAAACCTTGCTCCGATACCAATTGAAAGGATCTAGCAAGTGGCCTAGAGGGGGGGTGAATAGGCCTTTTTCTGAAATTTAAACAATTTCACGAAAACTGTCAGAACGCGGAACCTTCAGGCTGGATCATGGAGGTTCCGGGATGCGGAGGTTCCGGGGTTAAGCATGGAACCTCCGGGGATCAGAGTATGAAATCGATCTACTACGAAATTTAATGAATGAAAAATAGATCGAGTGTGATACCATTCTTCATGGGGAGTGCGTTGAGTTATCCAAACCGTTGATTACACCTAGAGGATGAGGGATTCATAGATCGGATGCAAAACCAAAAAATCAATTCAAATCACAAGTAATAGGAACCACAATCACAATCACAAGAGACACGAGGATTTATTCCGTGATTCGGTTCCCTAGAAAGGCTGGCCTACGTCCGCGTTGTTGAGGTTAGCCATAAAGGCTATGGAGTCTCTTGCAACTCGCTCTTCTTCTCCAACCTACCACCAAGGCAATAGGTTAGTGGGCTCCACTAAGTCACAAAGGGTGATACAAACTTCCCGGTGCTCAACCACAACGGATTGGGAGCTACCGGGAGACCGCTAGTCGTCTTGGAGCCAAGCTCCAAGAGTAACGAACACACCAAGTGTCTAGGGCTTCACCAAGTGCACAAGAACAGAGGAGAAGAATCTTCTCGAGCTTTCTCACACTCTCTAGAGCCAAATCCCTCAAGGAATCAAGGAGATCTTGAGCAAGGGAGTTGGGAGCACCAAGCTTGGAGAGAGTGAGAGCTTTCTAACGAAATGGAGTGAGTGAAGAAGATAACCGTTGGGGGCGAAGGGGTGAGGTATAAATACCTCCCACGTCAACCACAAAAATGGTCAGGTCAGTCAGACCCCGGAGCCTCCGTGTCTGGGCGCGGAGGTTCCGCGCTAGCCAGAACAGAAAAGATTTCAGCTCAGCTAGCTTTTTGTGGTTGGGATTATTTGAGTTGGGAATGATGTTTTGAGCACTTGGTTCCACCTAGACTACTATTAGTATCCCCTTGATAGTATGGCTTGTCCTATAACTAAATTTTAAAATATAAAATAAAATAAACTAGCTCTTAGAGCCGTTGTAGCCATCCATTCGAGTTGGGGGGTCTCCTCCTTTGTTTCTTTGCACCCACGACTAAAGATATGCTGCCAAACACTTGTTAAAGCCATTATCCTTTAATTATGTGGTCAACATCACCAAAACCCACTTAGAGCTTGATTGCACTTACAGCGAGCCATCTTGGCTCCATCAGAGGAAACGCGCTAGCGTGCCTAAAACTGCTCTGGAATCTGAGATGAACTATGCTTCTGCCACGATGCAGAAGAGTTGAATGCTTACGCTGGTCCTCCTCGTTTCCATGGCTTGTATTTGAATGAGTGGTGTCCTCGTCACCCTGGGAATCAGGCCTAGGTCGGATGCTGCTGCCTCGCCTGGTCTACCTTTCTTCTCACCATCAAACAGCAACAGCAGCGTCACTTTGTGAATATGTGTACTTGGCTTCACCCCAACTCGTTAGTCGAGCAACAAAAAGCTAACTAGCTAGTTAATTATATGGTGTATATACCTGTTAATACAAATTAGGAATGACACGAATTAAACCACACGTTTTGCGTTGTGTAAGAAGGGACGACGATCCCATAATACCCGTTGTGTGTTCACAACTTCACATCCGAGCTTTTTTTTTTTTTTTGTAAAGTCGCCAAATAATTGGTCGTGGTCGTACAGTACAGGTGTTTATGTACACATAATAAGATCAATTGTACACGTACAAGTACAATTCTTACGAGACTCGTTGGATACAAGTACAGCGCAGGAATCTTTTTCGTTCCGTTGTAAACAGTGCCACAGTACACTCCTGTATAGGAAGCTCGTCCCCGTGCGCTCGATCGGCCGGCCTCGTGTCGTCGTGGCTACACGACCTGAAGAAGAAGAAGGATGGCAAGCGAGAGCAGCTGCTGCAGTAGGCGCCACGACGAAGCAGAACCTGCACAGATGAGCGCGTGATCAGTAAATCCACAAGAAGCTTTGTCTCGACCGTGTTGGATCGATGAATATAATGGCTCAATAAATCTGGCTCACGAATACGATGATCGATCGAATCGTGCATGTGATGTGATGCGCGGAATTATGTATGCATTGCCATTAGGATTATTACAGGAGGCGATGATGAAATTGCCTTTTGGGGCGGACGAACCGTGATTACCGGGTGGTGGTGCTGTTGTTGATGTAGGCGTCGTTGGCGATGTCGCCCCCGTCGGAGTGATCCCCAGCTTCGAGCAGTCCGCGCCGAAGGAACCTACGTACAGTAGTATAGATATTAATATCTCATCTCAGATAATATATATATATATATATATATATATATATATATATATATATATATATATATACAGCTGGCGAACAGATGAGCTGATGAACAAAATTAAGTTGCGGAATCACATACATACATACATACATATATATATATATATATATATATATATATATATATATATATATATATATATATGTGTGTGTGTGTGTGTGTAATATACACATACAGTTCTTCATGCAGGGGAACATGTTGAGGTTGAGCAAGTTGGTGCAGCCCTGCTGGCATTCACAGGTGTAGCTCATGCCGTCGCCCTTCTTGCATTCTCCCGAGCCGCAGTTGACGAACACGCAGGCTGCACGGAGACGTACGTACGCACAGCAGAAAGAGGGAGTGAGAGTGAGAGAGTGATCGATCAGCATGCACGTTCCATCATATTGATCGGATAGTACTCCCTCTGTTTCAAATTATAATTTGTTCTACTACTTTTACATCAAGTTTGGCTGCTCGTTTTATTCAAAAAATTTATGTAAACATAGTCAAATTTAAGTTATTATTCAAGAACTTTTGTTAATAAAACAAGCCACAAAAAAAAAAATGATATTTAACAAATGTTTAAATAATACGAGTGGTCAAATTTGATGTCAAAAAATCAAATGACCTATAATTTAGAACGAATTTAGTATAATGTACGGAGTATATATATATATATATATATATATATATATATATATATATATATATATATATATATATGTATGTATGTATGTATGTATGTATGCGCGCGCTATATATATACTCACGGTCCATGATGGGTATTCCCTTGGGCGGCGTCAATAGGAAGCTGAAGTTGTAGCACGACGCGTCGAAGGTGCCTGAAAATTAAGCAACAACGACATATATATTATATATATATATATATATATATATAGAGAGAGAGAGAGAGAGAGAGAGAGAGAGAGAGAGAGAGAGGTTCAATAGTTCAATCACGTAACGTATACCTAATTGTTGTTAGTAATGAGGATAGGACTTACAGTCGGGGATGATGCAGGGCGCGAAAGGGACTGTGAGGTTAAACAACAACTTTGGCTGCTCCCAGCCGGGGTCGCAGGTGCACTTGTAGCCGGCGGTAAGCAGGGGGATGATCCCCGGCACCTCGCTGCAGGTGCCCTTGCCGCACTCGGCCGTGTCGCAGATCGTGCTACTGTCTGTGGATGCATCATATCATACCATGCGTTTGTAAGAACCACCGGCTGGCCGGCCGGCGTCGCGAACGCGAACGGATCGGATCGAATCGGACGCAGAAAGAAGAGGAACTCACTGCCTGTTGCTGCTGCTACTCCAGTGGCGGTGCAGGCAAGCAGCAGCGCCGCCGCCAGGAGGAGGAGCACCACACCCGGGCTCCTGCTGGCCACCACCACCATCTCGGCGAGCTGCTCCGCGCTGCGATGCTTGTGCTGCGATCTGCAGGTCAGTAGCACTCAGCAGCAGGTAGGTAGGTGTGTGCGTGGCTCCGGACGGACGCATGCCAAGGAATGCCGGCGCGAGGGACGTACATATATATGTGCCCCAAGCTAGCTACGTAATAAATCGGTGCGCGCGCGGCCTTGGGCGTAACGACGACGATCCGCATCCGCCATACAGATAATATAAAGCGAGCGAGCGGCGCCGATCCATCGCAGCTGGCAAGGCAGCGCGACGGCGATCGATATATGCATGTTTATTTGCCCAACGACAACGGCGATACATCGCCTTCCATCGTCCTGGCCTCCTCCTAGGACTTGTCACCTGGCCTCGTTCGTCGCACCCGTGAAACAGACAAGTGTTTGGACGCGTCCATCTTTGTCTTTGCTTCGGAACCTTCTGTTTTGGACATCAACATGGCAACATGCACCAGACATCGATCAATATAATGCTACTATCCAAAGAAGAGGCGCGGCACCAATACTCACTTTGTTTAGCTAGCCTAAATAAGGACCCATGAAATTAGCGCCAAATAAAGCCTTACATCGTCAGGCATGATTAGCATTTATCCGGCCCCATGCACAAAAACTTGGCCCAGAGGACAAAAACCTTTGGGCTCGTTAGGACCCATCCTGAATTTGGTTCGTCCAATAAAACCCATCATGGAGTCCCGTGGGCAGACTTCGGCAATAGTACACCATCAGCCCAAAACATTATACGCGCTTCGTTTCGCCTTGCATGACACTATGACACGGTTTCAGGGGTGCTAGCGTCCGCCCATGCGACGGAAACATCCGTCCGGCAGGTTTCCTGCCCAGCGCGCCTAAAATCCAGAGGGTAGCGCGCGGGCTGATGCTGCCATGCTGACCAACGCCCACCTCACCCACGTCAGCTGTAAGGTTACGCATGCAAATGACTTTTAACAAACTAGAAAAAGTAAGAACCGCTAAACCATAGATCCAAATTAAATTTCCGATTACATCAATCGGATTTCTTGTAATGAATCCTTCAAAACAAGATCTGAGATGGATATATTTAGATAAAATTTTATTAACAAACATTTATCTTATGAAGATACAACATTTTATTTTATTTTATTGAACATATACGATGTTTTCTTTAGGTTCACTGAACAATGTTCTGTCTTATTAAGAAAAATGTTCTCGTTTTAAAAGAACAATATTGTAGTTTTAAGTTCATAAAATTATTATTATAATATAGATAAAAATAAATAAAATAAATAACATAAATAAATAAATAATATTAAAATCTAGAGCAAAGTCTAAGGGAAAGAATAAAAACAGAGAAAAAATTTAAAAAACATCATATTGGTATTTTTCAAACATCCTAAATTATACTATAAAATATCACATGTATACTAAATGAACATCACTAAATAGACCATAGAACATCACTAAATACATTATAGAACATTGCATTTATATTATGTGAACATCACTAAATACACCACAGAACATCACTAAATACATTATAGAACATCGCATATATATTACGTGAACATCACTAAATACATCATAGAACATCACATATATATTGTGTGAACATAAAGATAAATATCATAGAACATCACATGTATACTATGAGAACATCATATGTATATTATGTGAACATCGCAAATACAGCATAGAACATTACATGCATACCACGTGAACATTAAAAAATATCACAGAACATCACATGTATAACACGTGAACATAAAAAACATAGAACATCACATGTACATCCGTACTGAACCGACAGTCAATGTCGGAGATAATGGATTCGAGCTTAAGCCAGCTCTCATCAATATGGTGCAAGCAAACCAATTTTATGAAAAGACACATGAAGATGCGAGTGCACATCTCCAACACTTCCTAGAGATTTACAACACCTTCACTATCAAAGGAGTAACCTAGGATGCCATACTACTTTACCTTTTCCCATTCTCATTCTTGGGAAAGGCAAAGCAATGGTTCTACGCCAATAAAGATAGAAACACTACATGAGATAAATGCTCCACTGAATTTCTAGCAAAGTTCTTTTCCACAAGCAAGACTAATGCTCTGCATGGAGAATCTCAAGCTTTCAGCAACAACATGATGAATCTATCCCTAAGGCATGAGAACGCTTTTAAGATTATATTGCGGAATGCCCTCATCATGGGATGGAGAATTGGCTACTCATGCAGACGTTCTACCACGGGTTGACCACCAATACCCGTTGTAACACCCCGGTGTTACGATCTTATTTAGCACCGCGATTGAGGCCTAAGAAGAAAAAAAATTCTAAACAAGTTTCTCGGATTTTAAAAATTTAAATATTGAGCTTATGTTTAAAATATCATTTTTAGCAAACGATAGTGAGCAAAGTAATTAAATAGCGCTTAAATATTTTTGTCTCTATGGGTTAGTGCGACGTATGAACTTTTGCGTGAAATAATTATTGGTGGAAGTTAATCGGGTTAAAACATAAAACAAAATAGAAATAAAAATAAGGGTGCCGCTGGCCACTCGTCCCAGCTACCTCGCCGGTACGACGGTGTTGTTTTCCCCCCGATCTGAATCAGTCACTTGACTGCGTTCACTATTAGTATTTCAACATCAGCAGCATGGCAAGCGGCGATTGCTGGCGAGTGAGGTGTCGTCCGCCGTACCAAGCGCAGTGACTCTACATGCAGCGTTTATCACTCACCAGGCTTCCAGCACGTGTGCCATCACTATCGCTAAATTGTGGTCTGCCTTCATTGTCCCGTCGTGGCTCTGTCGTGTCCTCGCGCGCTCTACACCCGGCGTGGCCGTTTGCCTGAGTCATCGTCCTCTCTCGTCTGGGTCGTGTCCGAGTTTTAATGGGAGTGACAGCTGTGGTTGTGTTTTACCGCACCAGCAGCCAGCTCCGGTACCGCGCTTGGCCTTCGCAGTGTTGCGCCTAAGTAACGCTTGAAATGGAGAGAGAGGATTTAGGAGCTGCTCCCTACACTGCAACTACTTGCTCCGCTACCTACCGATGCTCAGATATTAAACAATATTATTTTACCGGTGTAGTGACCCCTCGCGCTGCTATTTGGTGTTGATGGTGGGCAATACTTTATCTTATCATGTGATCCCAGACCAAAGATGGCTGTGATGCCTGGCTTTCGAGTCACCCTGGGCGTTTTTTCACCGAAAACCGAACACCGAACCGAAACCGAATCGAAAAGTCGATAGTTCGGTTTTTCGGTTCGGTTTCGGTTTCCAGTTCTATGCGGTTCGGTGTTCGGCTTCGGCTTTGGTTTCTACGCCGTAACAAACCGAAGTACTGAGAAACCGAGCTACTGCGCTGAGCCGCCGAGCGAGTGAGCGCTGAGCGCCCCAGCCCACCAGGCGCCAGCCCACCAGGCACCGGCCCACCACTGACCACCCACGGCCGCACCCGCAGTCCCGCACCACGGCAGACGGCACCACTTGTCCACTTCACTTCCCCCCGGCCCCCAATTCCCCGTATCGAATCGAGTCGCACCTCTCGCAGAGCCTCGCTCAGTCGCTCACCCCTCGCACTCTAGCTCCTAACCCTAACCCTAACCCTTCGCCCCTTCGGAGGCACGGTAGGCGGCTGGCGGAGCACCCAGCAGTCCAGGGTGCCAGGCGGCCAGCAGCGGCGGTGCCACCGTCGATCGTCATCAAGCTCCTCAACCACGGCCGCAAGAACAGAGCAGTCCTCCAATGTAAGTCTTTAGTTCTTCTTGTTCTTGCTTAATGCCTAATAGATCCAGATGCCTAATAGTTCTTCTTGTTCTTGTTTTTGTTTTGATGTCTTGTAGATGGGGGACACTGAAGAAATAGTGCCGCATCTGAATGTTGAAGTGAATGAGAATGAAGTTGTAAATGGGGAGAATGACAAGCAGGATGAGTAGCAGCAGTCCAAGGATGGAGAGGAAGTGAGAGATGAGGAAAGCAAGAAAAGGAAGCCCATGGTTCCAAGATCAGATGTTTGGGAACACTTCAGCAAGATCAAACTTGATAATGGGGAGGAGAGAGCCAAGTGCAAGTACTATGGCAAGCAACTCCGCTGTGACACAAAGTTAAATGGTACGTCCTCCATGAAGGCTCATTTGAAAATCTGCAAGAAGAATCCTCACAAACCTATAGTAGATAATCAAGGTACTTTACAACTACAACCTAGCCCTAGCAATAGTAGTGTTGGTACTCTATCTACTTGAAAATTTGATCCTGAGGAGTTAAGGAGGAGTTTTGCTGAGATGATAATAGAAGATGAGCAACCTTTTGTGTTATCTGAACGTTCTGGCCTTAGAAAGTTTATGTCAAAAGCATGCCCACGTTTTGTTTTGCCATCTAGAAGAACAATCACTAGAGCCTGTGTGAAAGTGTTTGATGATGAGAGAGAAAAACTTAGGAAATTTTTGAAAGACAACTGTGAAAGAGTTAGCCTGACAACAGACACATGGAATGACTAAGAACAGTCATAATTACATGTGTGTTACAAGACATTTTATTGACAATGAGTGGAATTTGCACAAAAATTATTGGTTTTTTCTTGGTTAAGGGCCATAGGGGGAGGACATTGGAAAATCTTTAGAGAATTGCTTGGTGGACCGGGAATTGAGAATGTTTTTACAATAGCGATGAGACAATGCTAGTGCAAACAACACTTTGCAATTAAGTACATGCAGAGGGTCTGAATGAATCAAAAGGCTGCGTTCTTTGAAGGAGAGTACCTTCATATGAGGTGTTTTGCACATATTATCAACCCGATAGTAGGTGATGGGCTGAAAGAATTTGATAGATCAATCGCTCGTGTTTGGGACTCTTTGTTAAGTGTGTTAGGAGTGGACCATCTAGGTTGGTAAAGTTCAAGAAATGTGCCGAAAGTTAGCTAAGGTTCAGACCAAAGCATTTTTTTCAACCTAGACGCGTGCACTAGGTGGAACTCAACTTACCCGATGCTACAAAGCGCACAAGAGTATGAAAAGGCCTTTGAAAGGTATAGTGATGAAGACCCATACTATAGTCTAGAGTTAGAGAGTGAGAAAGCACCGGGAGTTCCAATCAAATCAGATTGGGAAAAGGCAAGGAAAATGGCTCAATTTCTTAAATACTTCTATGAGTGACCCTCCGTGTCTCGCCACAAGTCGACCAACATCTCACACATACTTTCATGAGATTGTTGATGTTTTGGTTTCATTGAGACAATGGTGTCACACAGTGAAGATACATTATGTAAGGAAATGGGCCAAAAATGTTAGTGAAGTATTATAAATATTGGGGAGAGAAGTATGGAGAAAGGCCGGGGGATAGAGAGAAGAGAGGAGAGAAAGACAAGGGGGATCAATTGCTTAACATTGTTATTTTTTTCTGTGTTGGTATTGATCCTTGGTTCAAACTTTCTAACTATGTCAAGATGGCAACTATGGTAATGTTTGGTGATGAAATAGGTCAGAAACTGTGGGCAACAGTCAACACTTATTTTCGTGCTTTGTTTGAGGAGTATAGAGAACTGTATGCTCCTTTTCCAAATGACAAGGTGCCTGCTGAAACTCAAGAAACACCAGAATTTTGTTCTGAATTGATGAGCTCCATAATTGCACAACAGATGAGCAATAAGGGGAATGCCAATACCACTGTGAAGTCTGAACTAGACAAGTACCTTTTAGAAGATAATGAGGAGCTTAGTAAAAGTTTTGACATTATGAAATGGTGGAAGAACAATGCTACTAGATTTCCCATAATGTCTCATATGGCCCGTGATCTTCTGGCAATTCCTATCTCAACAGTAGCCTCTGAGTCAGCCTTCAGTTCAGGTGGAAGAACACTTCATGATTTTAGGACATCACTCACACCAACAATGGTTGAGCGACTCGTTTGTACAAATGATTGGCTTCGTGGAAACAACTACATCAGTGTTGAAGAGGACATAGAAGCATTGGCCAAGCTTGAGGAAGGTAATTTTTAATGCTAAGTCTAAGTTGTTATCATTTCTATTGTTTATCTTGATAGTTTATTGCAGTAACATGATCACTTATTGTAGAAATTGGTGCCCTGGCCATTTCTAAGGATAGCACTACTGCTACTGCATCTTGATAATGGTAAGTTGGTTAGCTAGAGTGCTGGACGCCTGGACACATCATGGTGGCGCCATGGAGCATTACTGCTGGAGTGCTACTGGAGTGCTGCTGTGCTGGATGCCTGGACACATCCTGGTGGCGCCATGGTGGAGTGCTGGACGCCTGGACACATCCCGGTGGCGCCATGGTGAATCTTGATAATGGTAAGTTGGTTAGCTGGAGTGGTGGACCATGGACGCCTGAACACTTGATAATTGTTCTCTTGCTGTTGTTGATGCCTGCTAGGCTGGAAGTCTAGAACCTGGAACCTTTTTTTTTTCCTCACCAACATGGAACCTGGAAGGCTGGAACCTGTGTTTTTTTCCTCACCAACATGGAAGTGCTGGCTGGAAGTCTGGAACCTGTTTTTTCCTGTTGTTTATCAAAACTGAATTGTTAAGTTTGTAATATTTGATTTGAGCATTGAATTGTTAAGTTTATAACAGTCTTGAGTCTTCAAATAATATACTGTGCTATCTGTTGTTTTCTAAATCCTGTCTTGAGTCTTCTAAATCCTGGCTGACTGTGTTGTTCGGTTTATTCAGTTTTAACCGAAAAACCGAACTAAAAAACCAAACCGAAATTGGTCGGTTTTTGGAATTTTAGCAAACCGATCGGGGTCATTTTCTGGAAACCAAAATTTTGGAAAACCGAAAAACCGAACCGAACCATCGGTTAAAACCGAACGCCCAGGCTGACTTTCGAGTACGCTGCAACACTTCAAACATGGTGCCCGTTTCCTGCCATGGGACCCACAATTTTTCTGGCACTACTTCTACATTGCGGAAGGCCTACAGCACCTTTTCTTCGCCAGCAGCCAACGCATTTTTAAAGCACTAGCAGCCGAACGTCCACTGCTGCTCTGCCCGTTCGGTCTTGTCTTGCCTGCCTCTCTCTGCCATCTCTGCTTTCCTTTTTCTCTCCACCGCGCAGGCCACATTATTTGCTCTTCCACGCAGTCAGCCGCCTCTCCTTTTTCCTCCCCGCAGCGCTGCCGTTGCCTTTTCCCCTCACGCGCGTGTGCGAGCTCCAGGGCTGCGCTGGACCTGCAGTGCCATGGCGCTGGCCCCTTGCGTGCCTCGACCCTGCGCTGGACCAAGCCGCCCGTCCAAGCCGGAGCCGGTACTTTCCCCCGCGCTAGGGCGTGCGCCCGCCATGGCTGCGCCTTCCATCACCTCGGCGCTGCCCTTCCTCGCGTCCGAGTTAGGATGCCATGCCCGCACCAGCCGAACCCCACGGAGCTCCTCGGCCACTGCCCTGTCCACACCCGCAGCCTCGCATACATCTACGCACCGGCTCGTGCTCACCCCGGCGTCCGCGCCATCCATCTCGTGCTCGGCCAGCGCCTCTGTCGCTCAGCCGAAAGCGTCGCCGCCCCGCCCATGCCGCCGAGCCGACTCCTCCCTCTCTCACGCAGCGCTTGCGCTTAGCCATGTTGCCCGCCCCTCGGTCCCGTGGCTGCCCGTAGCTGCTAGCGTTGACGGCTGGCGTGCGCGCCCGTCATGCGCGCCGCGTCCCTGTCCTCGCCGAGCCGCCGCGAACCATAGCCGCCCCAATGAACGCAACCATGGCTCCCCGCCGCTTTTCCGCGCCCTCACACCGTCTAGCTCTTGGCCAGCCGAGTCGTCGCTTCGCCAGCGCCGTTCTTTGCCGTCCGCCCGGTCGGAGCTGCGCGCTATTGCCGGTTTGCCGCCTGCGGTTCGTTCAGGTGGGCGGGCTGCCATGGGGCAGCTCGGGTCTTGTCGTCGTGGCCGTGGTCGCGCATGAGTTCGGCAACTCTCCGCGGGTCTCCCGCCACCGTCGTGCCTTCCGGCCGGGTTTGGTCGCCGGCGGAGCTCCTCGCTCGACTCTCTGAAGAAGACGATGCGAAGGGTATGAATCCAAGCCGAGATTTTATACGGGGACCTTACTGCGAAATATGTGACCTTAGTGAATAGTGCTGATGTACCTCGGCGTGATTTGTTAGAAACACAGGGACGTTTTTGCAATGTGGGCCGCCTCCATGCCGCGTTGGGCTGCCTCGTTTGTCTGGGCGGCATTCTTTGGCCGGACTAGCCGCGCGCTGGGCTGCTGATCCATTGGTCTCACAGCTAGGTGGGCATTGGGCCGATGTGGGTAGAACCCCACCCCGCATGGGGGCCGGCTTGATCGGGCCCGCTTGCTGCTGCTGGCGGGCAGTTCTGTGACCGCAGCGTGAGGTTGCGTGGCTAGAGCGCTGATCACGGCCCGCAGCTATGTGTTGCACAGGCGTTCACTGGCCAATTTTGATGGCCCTGGCCCTGTTCGTTTCTAAAACATTTGTTAATTTGGTTTGAAAATAAACTTATAAAATTCAGTAGTAAATCATAGAAAAATCATAAAAATGGGAAACCAGTTTTGTTAGTCTCCTAAAATCATGATCTACGTGTTAGTATAGTTGGTTCACATAGTGCGATATTATTCTTGGAAGCTATATAATTAACTTAAGGTACTTAATATTGTAAAATATAAACTTGTAGGGATTTCCGTGATAAATTGGTAATAGTATTGAATCTAAAATCTTTACAGTAGTTTCCTAGCGATATTAGGTATTCGCCATAATTTTTGTAGCGCTAGAATAATTAGTTGCTAGATAAATAATAATGTCCTATTGCGAATAAAGAAACACCGTTGGCTTACATAACTAAAATAGTTGTTGGGAAATAGCGTCTTATCCGACAACGTGTATATGTAGCCTAAGTATGGACGTCGTTAGAACTAGCCCGTTAACTCGAGAGGCGTATGTCGTATTTTACGAGTCACGATTGCAGTCGATTAATTATGTCTTTGCATCGCATCACATTGCATATCATATAGGTACGATGATGGATCAACGGATCAATTGAAGGATGACTGGGAATCCGAAGATGGTGGGATGGTATTCTCTCCAGAAGATGATGCAATGGGCTTTCTATTCGGGTGATGGTGGATGATCTGAAGATGCAGATACTAACTTTTTAATAGATCTTACCCAGGCAAGCCCCGGTGCATAACCCCTACTTTTCTGCAGTTTAAATTATATTTGTGCATTAAGTTTTAAGGAGTTGAATAAAACCCACTTGCATATATATCTTTATCATATGAGTCTTACTAGTATGGCAAGATCGTGTAGATTGCTATGCTACAGGACTCCGGTAGAAGTCGAGTGATTGCCTGTCACTCGCGAGATATAGGAAATATATTACTATGTGATTATCACTTGGAATATATAAAATGGTGGAAAGGAAAATGGTGACCGGATAGGGATATGGTTTGGGTATTGGTGGGTGTAAGAAGTTGTGTCGCCGTGGACACGAGGCATGGCTTGGTTACACTATTTTCCCTGTCTGGTCGGTTAAGGACCGATCGTTGCATATGACTCTAGGCAGGTCACAGACTTTTTATCCCGAGCACATACTTGTGTATGGGCGCTTGGAAGACTTGTTGCTCTCTTGTTGTGGATCCGGCTCTTTCCAGACCGACTGTCAGGGTTTTATTTTGGTGGAGGAGGTCCTTGCACCGCACTGAGTCCGGGACTCAGGGGTGGGGGCTTGGAGTCCCAGTTTGGACGGGGACCTGGACACCCGAGACAGGAGAGTGATGGATTGGTCCTGCTTGTGCCTGGGGTACAAGCGAGGCGTGTGTTTCGGGGTACCCAGCTGGGGGCATTGATTCGCGAATCGCCGGGCGATCCGGTATGACTTGTCTACGGTTTAGCATCGTAGTAAGAACTGAAGATGAAAGATGGAAGATGAAAAAAAAGGAAATCTGATTGCTTACCACCTGCTTGAAAGTAGCTCAGGTGCTTACATAGAATGGTTAGTTAATGAACCAATGCGGCTATTAATAAAAATCAAATATAAGGACGCACGCTTAGTAATGCTTCCTGCAAGTGCAACCCACAAGCCAGATAGCCTTGCATATCCTTGGAGTCTTTTCTTTTCTCCTGTTGGGTAAGTCTTGCTGAGTACAATTGAGTACTCAGGGTTTTATTCCCCCTGTTGCAGGTGATAGGTGGAGGCTAAAGCTGACCTTGTGTGTGGATTCCTCCTGGTAGGCTCAGCGAGGATTCCTTTACGCTGCGATCATAGTTATTATTTATAACTCTCACCAAATGCTTTTATAAATGAAAGTTTATAATCTGTTGTCATAGTTATTATATATCAATACTTCATCATGTCATGATTAGATATTCATTTCCGCTGTAATTCTGATCACATGTTTATATCCCGCTATTTAATTAAATTGTTCATAACTCTGATAATATGATTTCATTCCGCTGTTATACAATAACTATTATACTCTAATGTTGTATTAAAAGTGATGTAAGGAATGGTTCAGAATGATGTAAGCTTTATTCTCTCATTTATGATCCTGATGGCAAAAATGTGGATTTTCGGGTTCTCCCCTGAGGTGTGCCCGACGGAATCGAGTAATTTAGTGTTCTCCCTTGAGTGCTTAGTGTCTAATGGAAGGCAAGCACTTCTGTGAGGCATTAGATTAGGCGGTTCTGCCACACCCGTGAGACTATGGATGCTGCTGCTGGAGTTGCATTCTTGTCACTTACACTTCCAGCTGCGACCACTCTTGTGAAGAAGATGGCCTCCTACCAAGGCTAAAATAAAGAACGAGCTCAAACCCACAAAAGAGGTGGAGATATACATCAACTCAAGGAAGTAGACATGTTATCTGCCAAGATGAACATGCTGATGAAGAAGCTTGAAGAGCGAGCTAATGAGAAGCAAGAAGTCATGCACATTCATGACTCTCCAATGACATGTGAAGTATGTGGCAACACTGGGCATTTAGGGAATAGCTGTCCTAAAACCCAAGAGTATGTGAATTTTGTCAACAACAACAATTACTCTCATCTTCAGCAGAATCAAAGATGGAATCAGCACCAAAGGCCAAACTACCAAGGTAATTATCAAGGTAACTATCAAGGTAATAATTTCAATAATTTCAATCAACCACTCTTGA